AAATAAACCCATGTTAATAATGACAGTAATACATGTTCATTGTATTACTACTACACATTAGCCCAGGACTGGGGTACATATCCTTCTCAGAGTTTTTCTGTGCCCTATAAGGAAATAGAGGATAAGAGTAAAGTGACCCAGATTTGGTTTCAAATTCCAGCCCCCCCTTCCTATCTAGATAACCTTCAGTAAGTTATATAAGATTGCTGATCCTCACTTTCCTCATCTATAAAAAATGAGACAATAATACCATATACTTCAATTAAACTCCTGTAAATATTAAATGAGATGATGTTTACAAAATGTTTAGCACCATGCCTGACCTCATGATAATTATTACCCCTTAGAAATATGGCAATATTCACTAATTTGTAACTTTTCTTTAACATATTAGGAATATCTTCCAATGTCAATATATACACTTGTATTTTCATGATATTTCACTACATAAATATGCTATAACATATGTACCCGATTGTATCCTTTTACACTATTTCTAATTCTGGCCAGTATATAGAATATGGCAATGAACTTAAGCATAACTCTTTGCACGTTCATCTTATTACTCCCTTTGAAGGAATTTCTGAATACAAGGAGCATGGTTTTCAGGCCTTTACCACATGCTAACTGCTCTCCAGAGGGATTCTACCAATTTATGTACTCCCATCAGCAATGAAATTAGCTGGCATCTCCTCCTATGTAACCTCTTATTTTTCACTGCTCCAAACTTTCCTTCTTCTGACATCACAGCAATGATTTTAAAATGCAAATACAGGGATGCCTGGGTGGCTCAGTTGGTTAAGCGCCTGCCTTCGGCTCACATCATGATCCCAGGGTCCTGGGATTGAGTCCTGCATCAGGCTCCTTGCTCAGCAGGGAGCCTCCTTCTCCCTCTGCCTGCCGCTCCCCCTGCTGCGCCCTCGCTCGCTCTCCTTCTCTCTGACAAATACATAAATGAAACCTTTAAAAAAAATGCAAAAATAATCCTATAACTCCTGGGGTCAAGACATTCCTCAGAATAGAAGCCTGCTCCCCCCAGAGACCCAGTCTGGCCTTCCTTCTGCCCCTACTCCACCATGCACCTCAATGGCCTGTATGACCTAATTTTCCCACCAAATACCCTCAAACATCCCTACTTACTTTTCTAACACAAATCTCACACTCAACACACCCTAACTGAAAACTGCGATCTTCCCTGTTGAAGGGGCAATTCCATCCTTCCAGTTTCTTGGGCCAAATACCTTGGAGTCACTTTTTACTTCTTTCTCTTACAACTCGTATCATTTCGACTTGAAGGAATTCCAATGGTTCTACCTTCAAAGTCACAGAATTGTCTTGCCTGACCACGTCACCTCCAGGGCTAATATCCTGGTCTCTCACTTGGATTAAGACATGAACCTCTTCCTCTTATATGGTCTCCCCGTATATACTGGCTCTCCTACAGTCTATTCTCAACACAATAGTCCGAGGGAACATTTTAAAACATAGATCTTCAAACCTCTGCTCAAATCCTGCAATGACCCCACTCCACTCAGGATAAATTCAAATTCCTAAAGATGGCCTATAAGGCCTTATATAATCTATTGGTCCCATGGTCCCTGTGATCTCATCTCATACCGCCATTCCCCTTGCCAGCTCCAATTGGGTCACAAGCACTCCTTGTTGGTCCTAAAATACCCCAAGCAAGTTTCTGCCAAAAGGCTTTTGACAGACTATTCCATCTGTGCTTCCTGAGAAATACATCCATCTTGGCTCTCTGTCCCTCCTTCACGTCTTCATACAAATAATACCTAGACTACCCAACTGAATACTGCAAGGAGCTCCCTCTCTCAATTCTCTTTTTCTGTGCTATTTTTATTATTTTTAGAGTACTAACCACATACTAACATATTATGTAATTTATTAATTTTTAGTTATAGAATTTAAGCTGCACAAGAACAGTAATATTCACCTATTTTGTTTAATCATGTCTCTCATGTGCCTAAAACAGTGCCTGGAACATGAGCGTCATACATTAAATAGTTGCTTGGCAAATGAATAAAACATCCCAGGCAGTTTTATGCTCCGTAATCTCATGCTACACATTCACACGATTTGGGGGGGAAAGTAAGGAAACACAAACTAATAAGACAGAATGGGATTGGGCGGCCAATCACAAAGTAGATGGCCCATGTTCCATCCAACAATGTCGCTGTTGTTCTGTAATTGTTTTCTGTATACTGTTATTCTCCCTAATAAAATGACAGTACCTTGAACAAAATTCTGGCAAGTGACTAAAATTTTTCAACCAAAACGACAGGGCCAATGAACCGCCATCATGGGTCATTATTACCTAGGGGCTACCACTCCGCCAGGAAACTACCTCTGCTAGTGAGACCTCCCTATTCAATTTGCTGTCTAAATAACACCTACGTGTTCTTCACATCTCAGCTCTACTTCCCAGTGAAGCCTCTCTGATGCCCACTTCCTGTTTTGTAGCCCAGGATACCCCAGGCTACAGGGTTTACTCCCTGAGTAATAGCTAATACATGATAAAATCCAGGTTTAAATCCCAAGACTTAAAATGACAATATGGCTTCTAACTAGTACAGAGATAATTCTCAAGCCAACTCTCATCTAATAAGCCCAAAGTACAAACTAAAGAAATCCAAGTTAACACAAAGTCTCTGTAAATAACAAAATCATGTCAACGTTTCATCTCCAAAACACAACTTTTAAATTATTTTGTCTAAGGTTTTATTATTTAAAATGTACAGCATAAATGTTTCCTCAGATAATGTACCTCAGAGAATCATATTATAAAAGACAGGGCTATAAAGTCACCTAAGTTAATATGAATAAGCAGAGCTACAAAGCAAGACAATATTCACTTATTTATAATGGTTTTGGAGGAAATAAACTGTTCTAATTAAACAAAAATGGTATGCCAAAAATCCTGTCTAACCCATGACAATATCAAACCCTTTCTCAAAAATATGTAACACTATTTACAATTCCCCTTTATTAAATTTTATGTTCTTAAAGATACTTAAAATGGGCCAAAAATATTTCATGCCAAAAAATACGTTATCTTGTAATGGTGAGAGCCATAATATAGAATATATATCATATATACATGTACATATATATAGGGGCACCTGGGTGGCTCAGTCGTTAAGCATCTGCCTTCCGCTCAGGTCATGATCCCAGGGTCATGGGATCGAGCCCCGCATCGGGCTCCCTGCTCGGCGGGAGGCCTGCTTCTCCCTCTCCCACTCCTCCTGCCTGTGTTTCCTCTCTCGCTGT